GCTTCTCCCTCTGACCCTCCTCCCTCTCATGCTCTCTGTCTCTCATTCTCTCTCTCTCAAATAAATAAATAAAATCTTTAAAAAAAAAAAAACATTAAAAAAAAAAGAGAGAGAGAAGAACTTGAGCTTGAGACCATCTCCAGCTCTCCTGTCATGTTTTCCTAGTTGGCATTTTTTTTAAGTTTTTTATTTAAATTCCAGTTAGTGAACGTACAGTGGAATATTGGTTTGAGGTGTGCAACACAGAGATGCAACCCGTGCTCATCACAGCATGTGCCCTCCTGACTCCCCATCACCTCTCCTAGTTAGCATTTGATCGCAGAGACACGGAAGGGAAAAAAGTCTCTAAAATGACCGTAAATCAAGAAGGCAATGTCTCCTTTACTTTCTGCTGTGCCGCAGCGTCTGTTTTATTTTTAATTTTGGAATTATATTTAATTCCAGTGACTTTTTAAAAAATCTAATGAACTTTATTTTTCAGCAGTGGTGAGTTTATAGAAGATTAAGCAGATAGTACGGACTTCCCGTGTCCCCTCCCCACCCCCACACCTGCCGCATGTTTAACACCTTGCGTTGGTAGGGGGCTTTCATTTTAATTGATGAGCCAGTGATTAATACATTCTTCTTAATGGAAGTTCTTAGTTCATACTAGGGTTCTTTCTTGGCGTGTGGACAAATGTACAATGTATTTACATTTGGACAGTGGGTTTGAATAAATGCATCATGACCCATATCCACCGTTACGGTATCATACAGAGCATTTCCATTGCTCTGAAAACCATCTGTGCTCTGCTTATTCACCCCTTCCTCCCCTGGCCCCTGGCAACCACCAATGTTTTTACTGTCTCCATAGTTGTGCTCTTTCCAGAATGTCACGTGTTGGAATCATGTACCTTGTAGCCTTTTCAGATTGGTTTCTGTCACTTAGTGACAAGCACTTAAGCTTCCTCCCTGGCTTTTCCTGGCTTGATGGCTCATTTTTTTTAGCACCAAATAATATTCTGTTGTCTGGATGGAGCATAGTGTGTCTATCCACTCATGTAGCACGTGGCTAGCTTGCACATGGGGTTTGGGATCACTCGTCCTGGAAGCATCAGGAAATAATCAGACCACGGCTGTTCATTTCACAGGGAATGAGCCCGGAGGTGTCGGTCAGAAGGTCAAGGGAGTTGTGGCCACAGAACGGGGGATGGGGGGGGAGAATGAGGTCTGTGATAACCAGGTCCTCATTTTATATTTTACATCCCGTGTATCCGCCCCCCCCAGACCTCTGAGCACGGTTTCACATGCTTTTAGGCTTTGCATAAGTGACACCGTGTGGAACACAGCATTCAGCAGCGTGCCCTCACGCTGTTTTCAAGGTCGTTTGTTAGTGCCTGACTGGTCAATCCTCAAGCCACATGGGATCCCGCTCTGTGGCTGTGCCCCTCTGCATGCAGCCACCCACTCAAGGAAAATTCTCAGGATTCTGGATTGTGGGAAAAGGCACTGGAATAGAGAGAGGCTTGAACTATGTCTGTAATGTTTCATTTCTTTAAACAAAAGAGTTGAGGTCGTTTGGGCAAAGCGTTGCTGGATTTAGAGGTAGAGCCGGGCGCCAGGGCACTTGGGACATCTTGGGGTGCTCTGCCGGGATCCAGGGTGTTGGGCAAGAGGGGTCAGTTTGTTGTTCAAAATGATTGTTTAGAGATCATTTTTAAAAAACCCTTTACCTGGGCGCCTGGGTGGCTCAGTTGGTTAAGCGACTGCCTTCGGCTCGGGTCATGATCCTGGAGTCCCGGGATCGAGTCCCACATCAGGCTTCCTGCTCGGCGGGGGGTCTGCTTCTCCCTCTGGCCCTCCTCCCTCTCATATGCTCTCTCTCTCTCTCATTCTCACTTTCTCAAATAAATAAATAAAATTTTTAAAAAAAAAAAAAAACCCTTTACCTTATTCATTTACTTAAAAAAAAACATTAGCTTTATCAAGGTGTAATTCACATACCATAAAATTCACCCTCCAGAATATAAAATTTGGTGGTTTTTACACGTCCGCGAGTAAGTGCGGCCATCCCCACGTCAATTTTGGAATACTTTCATCACCTGCTAAGGGAACCCTGAGCTGTCCCCCACTTGTCCCTCCTCCTGCCCCCAGCCCCACCCCAGGCCCCAAGCAACCACTCATCTACCCTCTGTTGCTGTGGACTTCCTACTTGGGGCAGTTCATAGAAACAGGGGCGTACGCAGGTTGTAGTGTGGGCCAGCGCTTGGCTCCTTCCAAGGCTGGATGATGTTCCGTGGTAGAGATGGACCACACTGTGTTCGTTCATCCGCTGACGGTCGCTTAGGTTTTCTCACCCTCTGGCTATTGGGAATAGTGCTGTTGAACATCTGCAGGTGAGTCCTTGGCTGGTTACCTGCTGTCAGTTCTTTGGGGTAACGAGCACTTGAGGGCCCAGGAGGGATAGAGCAGGGACACCCCCTCGGGTGTGGTCAGTGCCTAGGGAACAGGGGACCCAGTGCGGTCACCTCCAAGCCTTTGTGTCGAGGGCTGGGAGGGCTCGGGTGGTGTTAGGACAGCCTCCCGAAACTCACAGAGCCTCTCCCCTACTGCAGTTCGCCTCTACGGCCCGAACTTCATCCTCCAGGTGTACTCGGCCCAGAGGAAGTCCTGGCACCCAGTGTGTCAGGACGACTGGAATGACAGCTACGGGAGGGCCGCGTGCCAGGACATGGGCTACCGGTGAGTGTGGTCCCAGCCGCAGAGACGCAGGAAAGATCCTCTCCGCCCCTCCCTGGACATGCCAGCACATCGATGCTGGGGACAGTGGTCTCCTGCCCGGAGCTGGTCAGGGAAACCAGCAGGTGCCTCACCACACCCCCCCAACCCCCCGGCATCCAGTGATCAAGACTCACTGCCGCCTCCTGGGCCTCCATCCACACCCGGTTACTCGGGGATGTCCGGTGCTGCGGCCACAAGGTCCAAGGTGCCATCTGAGGGCCTTGGTGGCTCTTTTGTCCCAGAGCCTCTGGCAGCGTTGAAGCCTCACCTCCCCAGCCGCCCTGGGTGGGGCCTGGGTGGAGCCAGGCGGGGGCGGGGCCAGAGGGAACAGATCGTCCTTGACCTTCACTGTATGCACGCTTTGGGGAGGCCCCAAAGCCTTTGAACGGGAGAGAAGTGACATCAGATTTATATGGAAGAGAATTCAGTCCTGCATGGGGCCACGGGGAGGGTGGAAGAGGCAGGAGGGCCCCTCCCAGGGATTCCCAGCTGGGGGCTCACCGGAGCATCCCTTGAGTGCATGGCAGCCGTCTGACCCCATGGGGTAAGGCTGTGTGATCTTATTGCCACCACCTCTTCCTTGGGGTGTCCCCATATGACTTCTGTGCAATACTAAGGGGTTCTCCATATGCCAGTTTTTAAAATTAATTACTGCTTAATAAGAAACTTGGCATCTTAGCTGGTAAAATATTTCCAAATGCCATCCTCAAATTGCAACTGAATGACATAGTGAGGCCCCCGTCACAGTTCAGGACCTTATGGGATTTTATAGCTGGGGGTGTTTTAACTTAAGTTACATCTACTCACACATCCCTATTCTCATGGTTTCTTTATCCGAACCCAAACCAGATTAGAAAAAGACCAACCGGGAGCTTTTACCCGACACTTCTGGGTTATTGTGGGGAAAGATGGTTCTAACACAACCTCACTTGATTAGAACTTGTGATTTTGTTTTCCAAATGCTAAGGTGTTCCTCTTAATCCGAACACTGTGCAAGAGAAGTATGATGATATCACAGGATTTGCAATTGCTTATAACGAAGACATTGTTCTAATTAACATTTTCTGCCTCTTTTAGGAATAGTTTTTATTCTAGCCAAGGAATTGTGGATGACAGCGGAGCCACCAGCTTTATGAAGCTGAACATAAGTGCTGGCAGTCTGAACCTCCATAAGAAACTGTACCACAGGTATTCGGTGACTTCTTTTTTCCTTTAAGAAAATTTGTAATGAGAGCGAGTAGGAGACACCATGGAGAATCATGGTGCCGAGGCTGATTTCTCTGAGCCGTAATTCTGGGTATCGATGAGTTTCTCACTGGGAGGAGATTGGACTCTAAGCGGGGCTGGTTGTTCTGGGTTCATTCTTGGGAAGCAGCTAAGGGTTACTGGCCATTTTGTTTATGCTCTTGATGGCATTGGATAACATTGTAAAATGGAGAGTCCTCCTTGCTGCTTTTCTATTCTTTTTTTTTTTTTTTAAGATTTTATTTATTTGAGTGAGAGAGAGCAAGCATAAGCGGGGGGG